AACAAATATTAATATTTTCAGAAAAAAAACCAACAAAAATTAATGACAGTTAATAGTGATGAGTGATTGTTTGGATTTACGAGTTTATAAACAAGCTAAATGATAAAAGATTCTTTATTTTGATCCTTTTATAATTTTCGTATTCGTAATTTTTTAAATCTTATTAATGTATGCATTTTATTTTATTTTTCATAATAATTATAACTTACCGTGTGACTCATTCAAATTATGCTGATATGATCGTTAAAATTAATAATTTGACCCTATTCTAAAAAAGAAAACACTGGTAAGAAAATCTACTAACAAATAACATGACACAAATATTAAACTCTTTTGATCGGTTAAGCTAATCATGTGGTGTCCAATTTAGAATTTGACTATAGAAGAGTTAGATTAATTGTTTCTTTTCCTAAAAAGAACACAGATTATTTTTTACTGAATTTTTCAATCAGAATGTCACGCCCGACTCTAATCATTAGAGGAATTGTCCGCTTTGGATCAAGCCAAATCCTCCATACAAGATTGGAAAGATTCGCACGGTTTTGTCCTGCAGGTGAAATGGAAGATTGGAAAGATGTCGCACGGTTTTGTCCCTGCAGCGTGAAATGGGTAAACTTCCAGGGAGGTCACCCATCTTGGATTTCTGTTAAGGCGAAATGGGAAACTTCCCAGGAGGTCACCCATCTTAGGATTTCTGTTAAGCGAGCACGCTTAACCTTGGAGTTCTTCCAACTCTCCAGCCATTCAACCAAAAGGCGCGTCGAATGATTAATTTCTCCCTTTTCGATATATGATTCGATTCATTTCTGTATCCCGCATTCCACTACATACCCTAGCTAGCCGGCCATCCTAGAACCTAGCCAGGAGCTTTGCTCTACCCACCCTCTTAGGATCGCTTTGCCTGGTCGGGATGTCACACAGAATGTCACGTGTCTCTCGTAATATCAGTTTTAATTTTCATATCAATTGAATTTAGAAGACAATCATATAAAGTTTCAAATGTTTCAATCGTTATAAGAAATATGTATAAAATATAAGTCAAAATTGAAGAATTTTTTTTTCATTATAGTTAAATTTTCCATTTTTTATAAGAATGTATTTGAATTTTCTACTTTCTGTTATTGGTTAACTTTTCACTAATCAGGACTCCTTAATTCCCAGTCAATGATCATCTTTGTTACAATAATTGTTGAGCTTACGTTGCCAATTAGGATTGTCTTAAAGTTTAATTATTAGCTTAATGCTTCATTTCCAAATACTTGTCAATGCTTCTTTGGCTGTTAGGATTATTTACAAAGTTGAATTATTGGCTTATTGCGTCATTTTCATAGTGCTTTTGTTTTGTGTAGTCAAACATTTCATCTTCATGCCATTGAATTTATGGGATCCTCTCTAATTGACATATCCATAAGATCTATTATGTTTTGAGGTGATGAGTAAATTGAGTTTGATGGATTTGGTCCAGTCATTTTAAATTAGAAATCAGAATTACTTATTAAATTGATTCACTAAGTATTTTAAATTAGCTTTATAGATTTGAATTTAGGCTGAATTATATATGTTTTTTAAAGAAAAAACCTGTTTTTGAAAGTAAAATTTTCATTTAGATTCTTTTTTAAAATTACTTGAGAGTATAAATTAAATTATTAATTATAACTTGTCAAACCTTCAATTTATTCATTCAAATTATAAGAAATAAACTTATTTATTTGATCTGAACTAATAAGATGCTTATTTAAATCTGCAAATCAAATTTTATTTGAATGATAGCTTTTTCAGAGTTGATTAAATAAATAATTATAATTTATTTGATGAAAAGATAAAATTGTTCCTACAACCATACTTAAAAATTCAGTAATCAATTCGTAATATCAATTTTTAATCATCCAGCTCAATAAGATTACGAGAGTTAAAATGGGTCGGATACAGAAACACGATTCATCTAATGCAGAAATTAAACAAGTTAGGATTGATTCTAAATAAATTCGTATTATAAATGAGTGATCTGTATATAATACAAGTTTAAATGATCGTATCATAGCTCGACTCGTCTAACTCATTTATTGAAGGATAAAATGTAATTTCATATATATATATATATATATATGGATAAAATGTATTTCATATATATATATATATATATATATATATATATATATATATATATATATAAGCGACTCTATTCAGTAATTAAAGTTTAATGGCCATATCCTTAGCGGTAACACTCTTTCTTATTCATTCTTACAAAAAAAACTCCCTCTTATTCTTTTTGGAGTGACATTTGACATATTATATTTAACATTATTTTTCTTAAATTACTCCCTATTTATCAAAACTTTATACAAATTTACGTAATATATATAAGTTGAATCATGTTTGATGGTGTTGCAAAATGTTAAGAAATTTAATTGTTTATATGACATTTTGTTATTTCTTAAAATTTTCGTTATTTTTTCAGCATTAATAATAAAAATCTTTTAACTTTTTTTTTTCAATAATCAATAATCCCGCAATAAATTGATGTTGCATGTTATTATTTCTTAAATTTTTTATTATTTTCTAATTAGTTATCTCATAATTTTAAGAAATTTTCATTCTAAAATATAAAACTCTTCATTTTCTTTTTCCAACAATTAATACTCCATAAAATTGATTAATAAGTATATTGCATTAATGAAAAAATCTTCAATTGTTTTTTCAATAATTACTAATCCTATAATAAATTTATTGCATACATCATCTGTTCAATTCAATTATATATTTTCAATTATACATCATTAATAGCTGTTAAATAAATAATGTTACTCAAATTCTTAAAAAAAAAATAAAATTGTAAATCTTCTGGGAGGCGAGGGCATTTGACTAGTTAATTATATGAATAAAAGCCACTGTGAACAGAATGGCTAAAATCTCATATTCTAAAATTTTGCTTATATTAATTTTTAGACAATGGATGAAATTTCCCTTTGAAAGAAAAAAAGGTAACACTTTTAAAATTATTTTTAGACCATTTGAACTTGAGATTGGTGGTTTTAGTTTATAGAACTTGGAATGTTAGTTGAAATTAGGAAGAGAAGTGTTCAAACTAGCTTTCTTCATGCATGAAATTGGATAATGACAGCTTTTTTTTTTTCTTTTTTATACTTGCTTGTCTGACGATAAATCTGACTAATTTCCACTTGCCTTCGAAAGCAATGAGGCATTCCAAAAGATCGAACTCATATCCCGCAAGTAATCTTCTCAGTCAGTTATCCCTATCTGGGTTACAACTCCTAATTTGTGTGTCTTTTTTTTATTATTATTTTTTTTATTTTTCAGTTATTGGACAAGCATTCCAATTTTATTGAAAAGGTTGCAAAAGATATTTTTAAAAATTAATATGCGTAAACGACACCAAATTATACGTGGATAACTGCTGGAATCCATTTTGAAGATCAATTGTGATTCATTCAATTGTTACTCTTTGTTTGTTTCTCATTAATGAATGTAGGATCGACTCCTGAACAGAACACAACACTTCAAGTGCAATTGATATCTTCTGCACAAAAAAAAAAAAAAAAAAAAAAAAAAAATCCTGCACAAAAAAAAAAAAAAAAAAAAAAAAATCAATTGATTTGTGGCTAAAGACTAAAACATATCCATTCAATTAAAAAAAAAAAAAAAAAAAAAAAAAAAAAATCAATTGATTTGTGCTAAAACTAACAACCATTCAATTTATTCAATGTTAAAAAAATCAATTAATTTATTGAATCAATTGATCTGTTCTGAATTATGAATTTTTGTTCCTCATATTTTCAAATTATTATTCCTTATATCTTCGAATTATTATAGCCCCATATTTTAGGATTTTGTTCTCATATGTAATTGTTTTGACAGTATTTGAACTTATTAGTTGTTGTCAGTATTAGTGTGATTTTATTTATGGTATTTGTTATTTAAACAGTTATGCAGAAAAGAGGTTAAAAAAAAGAAATTTGAAGATAATCAAATTAGATTTATAAAAAGGTCATCGAGTCAAACAATGGTCATGAATAGCTAATAAGTGGAGCGAGTAACCGTATACGACATATATATAATGCACTATGCTCTGTCAATTCAATTAAATACTTTAAATCAAAATTATATTTTTTTTATTGTTTGTATAAATAATTTATTATTAAATCTCCTATAAAAAATATATAAACTTATTGATTCGTATTCTGTATATGTGTACCGTTTCTTCTTAATGCAATTTATAGTTTTGATTTGTTGTTAAAAAAATCCATTTCATAATAGAGCTTTATTTGGAAAATTCATGTGCAAGAATTAAATTATATTGAATTGAATTCTTAGGTAAGAGTCATTCTAAACACTGTGTAAATTGATAGTGAGTTTAATTTACTTTATTATCTCGTAATTTATTTAACCAATAAATAATATTAAAATTTTAGGAGCTCATGTTTTTTTGAAAGGGAAATTTTAGGAGATCATTAAGATATAAATTGAGAATATTTGTGTAATTTAATTGCAAGAAATAGAAGGCATAAGAAGTGTTCAATTTCAATTCTTCAAGTGGTTCATTTGAGTCCTAATATAATAAAATTAGATTTTTGCAATCAAATAATTTTATTGAGATGTAAAGTATATTTTAGCATTGACATTTTTCGCTCTAACGACATCACAGTATCTCTATTTAGAAGTCGGCATAATTCCTAACTCCCTAATTCCTACCAAAATACCAATGGAAAACCTAATATGATTGAGTTATAAACAACTATGTATGACTAATCAAACCAAGCTAAGCCGTCTTTTTTTTGGATTGATGATATCCATACATACGTATGCTACAGTCAAGCCTGTCACTAACAACTTAGCAGGAAATAGCAATAATAATACATGTAAATGGACATGGAATGGGCTACGTCTGTTTTCACACCACACACAGAGAGTAGTGAAGCTGTGTCTTTATTAGGCGATGGTACTAGACTTTGTGTTGTGTGCTTTCGTTTTTGACCAACCAACTTTCCATTATTATTTAATTGTAAGTTCACATTGACAGTACCCATATACACCCAAGCTTTCTCCTCTGGAAAAATCCATGGAGAACAAGCAAGACCACAGAAATTATGCCGATGAAGACGAACCAGTCATCAACTATAGAGGAATTAAAGCCATGCCTTTTATAATTGGTAAGTTTACTTACATGTGTGTATGTGTGTGTATATATATAATATGTATGTATATTTTTTTTTTCCGAATGGATGAACTTAATAATAGACTTCTATTAGCATTTCAGCATCTTTTTCCTTCTTTCAAGGTTTATTTGCAGCTGTAGAGTTCTTCATGCACTTTTTGTTATATATATATATATATATATATGGTTATACTATATATATATATAGTATATATATAGTTTTTAACTTAAGAATTGTGGGGATATATATATATATATATATATAGTTTTAACTTAAGAATTGTGGGAGTGTGAGTTTCAATTTGCGTGTATTTATCTTGGAGAAGAATACTATATGTGCTTTTATCTAATGTTATTGATACGAAAATAAGTATAGTTAGAGATGAGTATCCGATCCATTTGGTTCAAATTGAACTGAATCAATGCTCATTGAATAACTAAAATTTATTGATAATCAAATTGAATAGTGTACAAATTGAACCAAACCAGTTTTTTCAATTTGAATTTAGCTATTTGTGTTTGAATTTATTTTTTAGGTTTTACTGTCGGAGTTGAAAAAAATTTTGAGTTTTTATATTAAAAACTGAAATCAAACCACTTACATAAAATATTGAACTAAATCGAACAAAATCAATTTGGTTCAATCAGTCTATTTGGTTCTGTTGAAATTTTCTCAGCCCTAATCCAATGAGGTTAGTAGGCATGACCATGATTTGTTTTAGATCAGAATAAAATCAAAATCAAACTAGTCAAGAGCGGTACTAAACAGTTGTCAACAGTTCTTAGTTCCAAATTAACTGTAACTGAAATTGTGTACTTAAGGTTCGATTTTGGTTCTTTATTCTTTTTGAAACCAAAACTAGTGGCTTTAGTTTGAAACTAGTGGTTCCGATTGAGACCGTGAAAAACATGTTCTTCAAGAAACTTTGAAATTGATTTGGTTTTTTTCAATAATAGTATTTATAATTCTTATTTATTCAAGCTATAAATCTAAAAAATAATTTTAAAAGGTTTGAAATAAATTATTTAATTTCAATTCCAAATTGAAATCAGCGGTTCAAAGCTATCTTAGAAACCACCTAAAGTAGGTTCGATTTCAGTTCCATCATTCTTATAACTAGATTGGATGGCTTAAAATCAAAATCGGCGGTTTTAGAACTGTAGTCATGCATAGGTATTAGTATCATGTCAGATCTATAAACTCGTGAGTTCAAACCTAATTTAATTAAGTAATTATCAAATATGAGGTAATTATGTATGCGTATATGCAGGAAATGAGACGTTTGAGAAGCTTGGTACTGTAGGGTCATCAACAAATCTTGTGGTGTATTTGAGTACAGTTTTCAACATGAAGAGTGTTACTGCCACTACTATTGTTAATATCTTCAATGGCACCACTAACTTGGCTCCTTTGCTTGGAGCTTTCCTCTCTGATACTTATTTTGGACGTTACAACTCTTTGGGTTTTGCTTCTGTCGCTTCCTTTTTGGTACTTCTCTTTCGCTCTCTCTTTCAATTTCTAGTCTTGGCTTGGGGTGTGCAATCGATTTTGAACTGAATCAAATCGAATCAAACAGAAAATTTTCTGTTTAATTTGGTTATGGGTTAAATTGAAACACTCCAATAACAACAATAAGCAGAAAAATGAAAAAAAAAAAAAAAAAAAAAAAAATGAAAAAAAAAAAAAAAAAAAAAAAGAAAAAACTTCTAAAAATATGTTAGCTTGTTTCAAATTTGTTTAAAATATTTATTTCACTGTTCGTGCTCAAACTCGTTGCTAGTTTTACTAATTGTAAACTCAGTTAAAGCATTTCTTAAAATATAGGGTATTTGTTAATTAAAAAAAAAAAAAAAAAAAAAGAAAAACTCTAAAATTATGTACTTGTTTCAAATTTGTTTAAATATTTATTTCACTGTTCGTGCTCAAACTCGTTGCTAGTTTTACTATTGTAAACTCAGTTAAAGCATTTCTTAAATATAGGGTATTTGTTAATTTTAAAAGTTCTGATACCATTTGTTAAAAAATAGACAGAAATAAATAGAAAATGTGACATCACTTTTGTAAAAACAGTTGAAAGAAGAAAAATATAAAAACACTATATTAAACCTGGCTTCCTTTTGCATAAAGGGTCACAATCTTACCACCAGATAATCACATCTTTATATAATAATATGTGAGAAACTGAAAGTTAATAATAAATTCTAACTTTCCATCTACTTAAATATATAACTTAAAAATACCTACATATTTAATATTTAAAACTTCAAATTTAATGACATTTTAATATTTCAATTTACTATTTCTAACTGTATTTACAAATTTTAAATTACTTAGAGCCTAAACCATTTAAAATGCTTGAACACGGACAGAGTACCTGCAAGTGGGGGTGTGCAAAACCACCTATCAATCCGAACCAAAAACTGAATTGACTTATTTTGATTTGATTTGGTCAGTTATGCAATGGAAGTTTGATTTGTCAATTTATTCAATTTGAATCGAATTTGTTATTTAGTTTGAGATGAGTCGGTTTCTAGAAATCCATCAATTGGAGTTAAAACTAAACCAATATGACAAAAGCGACCAAAACCAGTGAATCGACTGGTTTGGTTCAAGTCAATTCGATTCAAATATTAATTTTGATTCGGTTTGGACTGTTGTCCGAAAATTCCAATTTGCATTTTTTTTAACCATGATGCAATTGGGTTTGAACTGAAGCTACCGTTTGTTGACCCCTACCTGCAAGTATAAACAAATTGAAGTGGATCATGTACATAAATAATTGGATATTATATTATATTTATGGAATGGTTCTCACACACTAATTTATAATTATAAACTCAATGGAAATTCATTTTTGGAAAAACAAGAAAATATTTTGTTTTAAAGCATTTTCCTTATGAATATATACATATACTTAATTAATTATACTAGAATTAAATTTTTTTGTTTGTCGTTTAATTTTTATGTGTATAGGGTATGCTGATACTAATGCTAACAGCAGCAATCTCCACTTTACACCCACCAAACTGTATAGGAAAAGAAAGCAGCAATTGTATCAGCCCAACATCTTGGCAATTAGCTTTCTTACTAAGTGGGTTTGGATTTTTAGTAATTGGAGCTGGTGGCATCAGACCTTGCAATCTTGCATTTGGAGCTGATCAATTTAACCCTAACACAGAATCAGGCAAAAGGGGTACTAGTAGCTTCTTCAACTGGTACTATTTCACCTACATATTTGCAGTAATGGTTTCAGTCACAGCTATTGTTTATGTCCAATCAGATGTTAGCTGGTCCATTGGTTTAGCCATTCCAGCTTTTCTCATGTTCCTTTCTTGTGCTATGTTCTTCTTAGGAACTAGCATTTATGTTATTGTTAAACCACAAGGTAGTCCTTTAACTAGTGTGGCTCAAGTTCTTGTTGTTTCCATCAAGAAGAGAGGCCTCAATTTACCTGAAAACCCTAAAGTTTCTCTTTTCAATTATGTTCCTGCCAAATTTATCAACTCCAAGCTCGCCCATTCAGACCAATTCAGGTTAGAATTTATCAATTTCTAAGCATTTAATTGCTGATTAATTTACATTTACACTTGTTTGATTACAATGGCATCTTCAGGTTCCTTGATAAGGCTGCAATAATTACAGAAGATGACCAAATCAACTCAGATGGCTCAGCTACAAATCCATGGAAACTTTGTAGCATCCAACAAATAGAAGAAGTAAAATGCTTGGTAAGAATAATACCAATATGGGCATCAGCTATAATCTACCATGTCCCGTTAATCCAACAACAAACCTACGTCGTTTTCCAAGCCCTACAACTAGACAGAAGCTTAGGGACTAGTAACTTTCAAATTCCTGCAGCTACATACATAATTTTTACCATGGTTACTCTCACAATTTGGATACCTATTTACGACCGAATTTTGGTTCCCTTTTTGCAAAAAATTACTGGGAAAGAAGGAGGATTTACATTACTTCAAAGAATGGGGATTGGCATCATTCTTGCCATTCTTTGTATGGTTATTTCTGGACTAGTCGAAGGACGAAGAAGAAATCTTTCTTTCGATAAGCAAACGCTAGGAATCGCCCCGAGAGGGGGTGCGATTTCATCCATGTCTAGTATGTGGTTAGTGCCTCAACTTGCACTAGCTGGATTATCTGAAGGGTTTAATTATGTAGCACAAGTTGAATTTTATTACAAGCAATTTCCTGAAAATATGAGGAGCATTGCTGGATCAGCATTTTTTGCTGGTCTTGCATTAGCCAATTATTTGAGTGGCTTTCTTGTTTCTACTACTCATAAGATTAGTTCAAGAAGTAAAAATGGAGATTGGTTGTCTGAAGATCTTAACAAAGGGAAATTGGATTATTTTTATTATGTTATTGGTGGTTTGGGAGTACTCAATTTTGCATATTTTTTATTTTGTGCCAAGTGGTATAGATATAAAGATGTAAATTATAGGGTAGTTGAGATGGGTGTTGGGAAAATAAAGGGATCAGATAAGAATTTTGTATGAAATGATTTGTATCCCATTATTTTAGCTATTAAAGTTTTTAATAATTGAGTGTATCCCTCATAGTGTAAAAGTTTAAATCTTGATTTTTTTTTTCTCTTTTGTAAGAAATTGTTATTAAAAAATGAAATAGAAAGGTTAAAATGAAATCAATATACAACAATATTTTGGGGGCAATTTTGCAAAATGGAGTAAAAGAAAAATTATCTAAGATGGTGTAGTTTTAAAAGAATTTACCAAAAAGGTGTAAATTTGAACTTCTACAAGTTTTTATTACAGTTATTATGCAACAAATTAAAGACAATGTAAACTAATTTCCTATTATTTACGGGATTAATATGCTTAGTTCGACTTATTCACTCGTGAATTAAATCAATGAAAAATATTTTTTAATTGACAAAAATATACTTTTAACTATATACTGAAAAAAAAATAAAATAGAAATAATTTTTTAAAATTTTCATATTCATTGATTAGAATAATGGCAAGACTAATCCATTATTTAGTGTGAAGTTGTTAATGGATTAATTTTTCACTCATACACAAGGTTTTTCCTACTATACAGAAATACTTATTTCTGTATGGATATTTAATTTACAATTTAATAACATGTGGCAAGTAAACCTTCTATAGCACGTTGATTATCTCTTTTTTTTAAGTTATTTTTAAGTATATTTTTTTTCAAAGTTTTTGGATGAACTATTTTTTTTAAATAGTATAAAATTTATTCATTCTTTCTCGGTATAAAAGAAATGGTTCAATAACTTTTCTTTTTATAACAAAATATTATATGTTAAAAAAAAAAAATACAAATAACAGTATATATTATAGGAAGAGCTATGAAATTCAAAAATCTATAAAGATAATAAAAATTCATATCATATTTCTATTAACAAAAATTATATTTCACGTATAACCATATTTTTTTTGAGAATAACAGTATCTTTTAATTGATAATGATGTAGAATTTTGAAATAATTTTGATGCCCATAATTATATCTTAGTTAAAATAATATAAATTTAATAATAACAATATTTAAAATAAATCTAATTGTGAAAGGCATACTGATATAAAATAAATTGCCAATACACGGTTTTTACTAGTATAAGAGTTTAAGTTGCAAAACACTTTAGATTGTATTATTTTAATAGTGATAATATTAAATTATTTTTAATAATAGTTAGCTTATTTATGATATTAACGAGAAAAACAAATTAAATTTTCTATTGGATATGAGAACAAATGTTTTATTTCGTGTCTTTAGAAATATTAAGATGGAAAATTTTATTATATTCATAAAAATAAAAATAAATAAAAATAAAAATGAAAAACTATTAATATATGAAACATCCCGAATTTTTATTTTCGAAACTTTCGAATTTTTATTAAATTGAAAATCTCGATTTTCAACTATATGGGCTATAAATACCAAACAATGTGGGCTGCAAACGTAATACAGTCTCAACTCGAGCCAAATTTTCGAATTGGGCCCAAGCCCAAATAAATGTCAAAAATTTTGAATCGTAAACAGATAAGATTTTTGAGAAATAATATGAAACCCCGTAATTTAACCTATTATGAATATATATAAATTATTTATCCTAAAAATCAAATATTGTTACTATTAATATTTTTATTATTATTATCATTGAGTAAATGGAGAAAAAGTTACGGAACCTAATTAAAACAATCGAAATAAATGGAACCGGACCCGGAAATCAAATTGATTTTTGGAAAACCACACGAATAACCTGAAAACCAAGTGAAAAATCTGCAAACCGGAACCGGAAATAATCTAGAAACTGATTTATTTTTCTTTTCTTCCTCTCTTCCTCTTCTTTCTTTCGTTTTTTTTCAGCGGCAGCGGCGGACCCCCCCCCTCTCTTGCTTCCTCCCTCCCATTGTTTTCCCGGTGACCTCGTCAATCACCGAAACGGCTCCAGTCCGTCTCCATCACGATGGCCGAGCTTCTCCCTCTCCTTCTTTCATCTCCGATTCTGGCAAAGCCTGGGGAAAATCACGAGCAAGTCGCCATTCTAATTTTTCGCTCGAGACAGTTGGTCTCCGGGCGATTGCGGACCAGTCGAGTGGTCCTTCTCATCGGCGAACAACCCTCCAGTCTCTCTCGTCCACTTGCGTGTAGTTGTCGTTGTCGTTAGCGCAGCAAGGGAGGCGCATGGGTTGTGTTAAACTGATCTACACAGCCCCCATTTTCTGCTTTTCTTCCCGTTTTTCGGCCAAATGAGCTACTAGTCCAACAAACAAGCGTTAGATTTGGGCTCTCAAGGAAATTTCGAGCAATTTGGTGTGGACAACGTGAAACTCTGGGCAGAATCGACTTTCCGGCCACCGTGAACGGCGGTCCGGCGAGTCTCCGGCGAGGCCCCAAAGAAACAGAATTGTTCCCTCCTTACGCTGATCATGGAATCATCATCCGACTTTCGATTGGTACGCCCTAAGACCCAGTTCTTAATTTTTGTATAAATTTCAAATTTAATTGATTAGTAAATTTAATCGATTATTTAAGAAGATTTAATATTAATTAAATAAAACAAGAAATTAGAGTATTGGGATAGTATTATGTAAAAAACATTTGTCTTAATCGAATATGATTCCTCGTTAGATAAATACACTAAACTTGAAATTTTAGTTACAAGTCATTTTAGAATAGATTGTTACATCGAAATGTGAAAGATAAATTGGAATTAGGTTAGTTAGTTAATTAGTAGAATAAATTGGAATTAGTTTTTAGTTAATTAGTATAATCATTAGCTTAAAACCAGTTGGTTGTGGCAATAAGATAATTAAGAGGAGTTTTCAAAAACCGAAAAATTTTACGGAGTTTAAGATGTATAATTCTGATAACACTAAGAATTCGAAAGCGCTAACCACTTCCGATATGGAATAATAAGAATATAAGAATCAAAATCTAATAAATAGTAAGTTATAAATAGTATTGTTAAAAATAGGTTTTAACAAACTAAACAATTTAATTACCAATAGAGTTGATTAATTTGGTCAGGCTTAATGATTTAGGCAAATAATTTTATATGAGTATTGTTGAACAAGTTGTTATATTTATAAAACTCCATGGTTTGAGATAATTGGGTGTTTGATACTGATTGTTTAAGGAGGTATGGGACTTAAATTGGTTGGTTGCCCGACAGGATTGGGCTTTTGGCGTGCATTGATTGATAATATATATTAATATTGTGATATTTGAGCAGTAGATAGTCCCCAATTTTTAGGGGAGGTGTGCCGAAATTTCGATAGAACTTAGTTAATTTAATTAACAACATAATTAATAATGTTAGTTAGATTAGTTCTATAACTGGGTACATAATAAATAGAGTGCTGCTGTTTATTTATTATCTTATTAAGCATTTAATCATTTCAATATTTATTTATTTTTTTCATTATTGATGTTATTATTGTTTTATTTTTATTTATTTTATATTGTTGTTTATTGTTAATACTATTTATTTTGATTTGCATGTGATTTGGAATGTTTAATTGTTGCAATTGCATTACGATGTTTAATTGAATTTATATGTCTGCATTTGGATTGCATTGTTTGTTTCCTGTGCTGTGAATATGTTGTGCCTTGTTTGTGGTGGAATTGGATGAAGTGGACCACATGGGTTTTGTGAGGACGGTCTGTGATATGGATCGATTATGATTTGACATTGTGACCGTCGCCGGGAAAATGGGAGATCGGGGCGCCCCCTTGTGCACCTGATGATATAGATTAATTGGAATTCACAAGGATGGCTTCTTGTTGTTGCGCACCCTGATAATCTGTGCACCTGATGATATGATATGGGTGATACCTGATGATATGGTATGGATAATTTAGAAAACCACAGGGTGGCATCCTGTTGGTATGGAAAAGAAAAGAGGGTATAAAAGAAAGAGAGGGCTAGTCAAGTGAGGATTAGACCATTCGGCCATGTCTGGGGGATCGGCTCCCTGGTGCGCATGTCATAAGAGGATGGACCATGTGGGAGGATGGACCATGTGGGAGGACGGCTCATCGGGGGTTTCGGTGACGCCACAGACCAATTTTCACGTGATGTGATTATGTGAAGGGGTTAATGCTTGTGAGTGTTGTTGTTATGCCAATTGTGTGACTATCTGCATGACCATATAATTAGTCAGATGACTAGATTATTTATGCATTTGTGTGAATGCGTGTGTTGTGCAATAAAAATTACTTCTTAGAAAGCTCACATATCTTGTTTAATTTTTTTTTTAGGAAGTAAGTTTCTCTTTAATTCAGTTAAGTGTTGTTCTTTCGCCGCAGGGCTAGAAGAAAATTTTCCAGTTCTATAATTATTTTACTATGTAATTATATGTATAAAAAGCAATGTATACCAAATAGTTAGTGACTCCGCAGTTGTAGAATTTACATACATTTAGTCGTGTAGTAATACATATGAAGTAAATTTTGTTAGCCCATCTTAGAAATGTGATGTATTGCTAATTGGGCCCGAACTGTGGAATGTTGTAGCTGATAAATTTTGGCCGAGATTTAATAAAATCTTGAGGTTTATTTTCCTATAAATTATTTTCCTATAAATATGGGCTGAATGTTTAAAATTAATTTGAGGTAGTAAATTTTTAGTATTTCAGGCTTACTACGGGCCTCGGGAGCCTTAAGCATACCTGGGCCCTAGTGCCGGTCCGGCCCATGGAATCGGGTCGTGACAAAGTTGGTATCAGAGCTTAGGTAAGGGTTTTAGGACACAACTGTGGAGTATAGGAAATTTCTTTACGACCGTAACCAACATAAGGAAGGAAACTTGTGATTTTCCTCTCTAGGGATGGTGGACGCACTAGACCCTATGAGGTGGGAAAATCCACACCTATTGTGCAGATCAATAGACTATAGAAGAAGTAATTCAAGGTTTGAAGTGAAAGCAGTAGACAATAAGATAAATCCATCGCAGTACCTATAGAGGCTAGAGTTGGTATCAACCCTTAAGCTATGGAATAGAGTAATACCTGGTGGTAGTGGATTGACCTGATCACCCAGTACACTACTTTTCATATGAACT